TGTGTGTGTGTGTAAAGAGGACAATGCAAGGTTAAAATGTGGGGCCTCGTACATGTTAGTAAGAGTGAGTCGTTTTAGTAAGCCGGGAATATGGAGCAGAAGGGAGGGAAGGCTTGAATCCAGGGGGAGGTGAGGGGATATAGGCACTTCTAAGGGAAGGGGTCGAGTGAGGGTGGGGGGGTGGGGGTGTAACGTGAGGCAGGAAGTCAGTGGCGCTTCCTACCCGGGCGAGAGCTTCTTCGACAGTGATCATCTTCTCTTTCACCATCATCATTAGTTGGATCCGCTCCTCATCACTCATGGTGATCTCACTAGCCACATAGCCTATGTCTTCTCCTGAAGGGGGCAAAGGGAAAAAACGAACAAAGGTCAAATATGGAGTAACGTAAATGACGTAGTAAGTAAAAGTATAGCCACACAAACCTTTGGATGTCTGTCTCATGACTGGTTTGTGCTGAGACTTGCGGAAGTTCTGCCAAAAAGATTTGTTCTTCTTCTTGTTGTCCCATTTACCTAAAAGGAAGACAAATTAAATACTCGGGTTGTAAATATCTGCATGGGTATAAAACCATCCCTACAATTTATACAACAAGTACATATGATCCTTACGCAAATATGTCTTTCTGACTATTGTCTTTTTTTTCACTCCAAGGATCAATACATTTTAAGCTTAATCTTAAATATATTAAGACAGCAGAAGACAAACATAAAACTGAATCTCAATTTACCCCCAGATCCTTCTTCAGAGCTAGATTTGTGCAGGGACAGTCTGTGGGTGAAAGAGTAAAGAAACACAGATTAGAAAAATGTATCTTCCGTTTTTTTTCGTAATCTCAAACCATATGATAAAGTCTCCAGTCTCTGTCAACCACAGTGCTTCAAAACACTGTGACTGTGTTTATGAGTGTTTTGGCAAAGAGGGCTGCAGTTCTGTCTGTTCACCACTTGGGGACAGTGGTGGCACTTATGTGACAACAAAGCTAGGCTCCTTAGGGTTGAGAGGGAGAAGGTGGAGGAGAGGAGAGGGTGTAGACAATAACACCCCTGTTGCAAAAACAAGAGGGTCAGATAGAGATGATGGTACAACAAAGTGTTTAAGAAGCATTAAAGACCAAAGGAAGGTCAACAAGATACAGAAAAAGACAAGGGCAAGCATGTGAAAGGGAGAAATCGAGGAAGAGAGGAACAGAAGGAGAGAGAGAGAGAGAGAGAGAGAGAGAGAGAGAGAGAGAGAGAGAGAGAGAGAGAGAGAGAGAGAGAGAGAGAGGACAGGGCGGACTCAGCCCGTTTGTATTTCCACAGGAGAGACAGTCACAAGGAAGACAGACAGCATAAGAGAAGGAGAGATGGAAAATAACAGAGTCCAAAATAAAAAAGTCAAGATATGTCCATAAACCTTTCTAACTAACCACTGCTAACGGGGAGAAAATAACTAAGCCCTTTGTGACACATGAACTGCACTCAGCTTCCAATCAAAAAGTCATGTGAGCAGCCTCACCCAATGTTCTAGCAATTTCAGCAGCGTGTGAGGCTGTGCCTGACTCTCCCTTGTTCTTGAGATGACGGGAAAACCACATCAATGGCAATCTATTTCTATATACTTTATATATAAAAATAAAAGTGTGTAGTAGAGGGGGGTGAGCTTCAGCGGTCCATGTTCTAAGTAGCTGCTGAAAACTTCACAGAAGAACAGACTTTGTTTTCAGATTGAGCTAAATTTGCATGGAGGGAGCGAAGCTTCAGGGCGGTTCGTGTCTGAGAATAACACCCTACAGGTAGGTGTGTGTGTGTGTGTGTGTGTGTGTGAGAGATAGTGACTGCCGGTGGCAGCACGCTGTAAGCTTTTCCGTTCTTTCAATTAAAAGGGATTAAATCATAGGGGGGGGAAAGGACAGATAAGAACAACATATTTGTCCAGTTGAGACCCTCAGAGACCTGTTCAGTAAATCTCTCTATTAAAGGCATAGCTGTCTCACTCTGACACCATCACACAGCCACACACCCTTTACGATTGGAGCCCAGTGCACACGGGCACACAGCTGCTGAGCCGTGCAGAGAGATGGGTGGCTGCCAGTGAAGCAATGTGAAAGTGTGTGACAGGATCACAACACGATGAACAGGTCACTTCCCTCTCTAGTGGCTGCTTGTGTGTGTGTGTGTGTGTGTGTGTGTGTGTGTTCATATGTTTGTTCAGACATGGCAGCCCTCTCTTGGTGCAATGGGAAATCTTCACGTGGCTTAAAGCCCGGCTGCTATGGCAACATAATGAGATGCTAATTGAATGGAGGCCTGTACGGTTTGCCCCACTGTTCATCCCCCTCTCAGATAGGCTAGGGCCAAAGCTAATGCTAATAGAACTCACTCAATAGAGGCTTTTCTGTGGCAGCGATGCACCCCCCCCTCCCCCCCCACGGTCTATAAATTAACCTCCTGTGCAGCGCACACATGCATGCACATACACACCTCCATGCGCTCACGAGCCTGAATGTCTTTCAAAGAGGGTGTCAGTCCAGGCATTGTGTGGCAGGGCAACTTAATTGGTTTAACTTTAAATCTTTATTATGCCTTTTTTTATTTCAATTCCTTTCTTTGCATCGACTAGGGGACCTTTAACTGCTCATTAGCATAAGAAGCCAACTTTCTATTTTCTGCATAATGTTCTGTACAGTATCTAAACTTTGGCTGAACCTAAACCTAAAGTTTATTTCCGTGATACCTCTCGTAATGAAAATGTGAGCTTATGCCTTTGGGGCCATGAGTGAATGGCAAGTTTGGTCAGTGAACGTGATGTGATGTGATGCGCATTGACCCCATGGAAATGGTCGCGTGAGTGCTGTCTATGTTATAGCATGAGATGCGTTAAAAACATATAGTGAATATGTAGTAGTTGCACCAGCATAAAAGATACTATATCAACATCAGGGGGAAAAAAGGATGACTGACTGAGTAAGTAGGGAGCCATCATATGATGCAAAATGAGTCACAGGTTTAGCATCCTGTGTGACAGAGCTGCTGTGAAAATTGATAAACCAGCACAAAGCCAGGGTTGGACACACAGCTGTGTGAACTCAGCGTAAATCACAGCATTGCACACATGTACGCGTGTATGGTGACTGTGTGACTACAGGGCTGGCCACCTGGAGCAAGATGATCTCCGGTGTTCTGGTAGAGACAATGAACGGCAGCGACCCTGTGCAACGGTGGCGGGGTCCACAGGAAAAACAGAGGGGTGAACTCTTCGGGGGTCATGGAAAGGGCAGAGGTCAAATGGAAGGGGAAGACAGAACATCATATGGAAGGGAAATAGAAAAATTATACCGATAAACCACACACGAGATGCACGTTTTTGTGCTCGTGTATTTATTTCCCTGCCTCCTGTCTCATGTGCTTCACTCTAAGAAGCAACAAAACAGTTCCATGAGGGCTGCAACACAAGTGGTAAATGCGCTGACAAGGTACTTTAGTTTTCCAACATGGCACCGTTGCTCTAAAC